CCCCCCCCCCCCCCCCGCCCCTTCCTCCCTTTCATACGAACGTCTGGAAAGTTTTGCGACCTTGCGGAGCAATATCTTCGCACGCTCTTAACGATCACCTTTAAACTTAAGTTTCCGAATTTTCAGTTCGGTAAATGGTCTTTACCATAACTTGAAAAAAGTCTTTTAGTCGGAAGGCATCTTCTTCTTCATTGCCTTCCATGTGTCTGCTGTCATAACATCCTTTCCTTTAATGCTTTTGGTTACGAATCCGCCGACCACCATACCATTTGGCAGCTGGGAGACCCCACCACTCCTTCCAAGAGGCAAAATCATTACAGGATTAGACGGCTTGTATTCTTTAAGACGTTTGTTTTCATTCAGCCGTTTAATATTTTCCACCGCTACATCTGTAAAAGAAGACAACAATCAATTGGGATGAAACCTATCAAACTTTCTGTTTGAAAGGAACTTATACATTACAGAGGCACCCAACGAGAATATAGTTCAAAACCACTTAAACATAGCATTGTTAAACGTATTTTAGTAGTTAAACGGTAGATATAGGCATATTTTTATCCCCTAAAAATTTTTCATCTTTTCGGATTTCCTAGCTGAAAGTCTAGTGATCCGAAAATTATAGGGATCAAAACTTACCTTTTCGAAAATTCCAGCCACAAAAAAGGCTCCCGAAAATTCTAGGTGACTTTTAGGGGTAAAAATCCATTAAAAACGGGAAATTATACCATTTTTTAGAAGTTCGAAAATCCTAGCAGAGTCAGGCAAGCAAGAAATTTTACAACAAACGTTCCGAAAATTCTAGATCTCAATTCGTCTTCCAGATATATTGCAAAAATTAACCTTGGGTACCCCTGACATGAGGCCATTTCATATCTATTATACTCTTTCATAAGCAGACTCAGTCAGTCACTGGTCCTTATCCATCTTATGATTTTTAAACTGTTAACTTTCCTAAGTTAACCTTATTCTTAATTTCTTATTTTCCAGGCACTTTTCCGCCTTGAATAGCCTTGCTAGGTGCGGGCAGTGCTTCTCTTATGTTATCTGCTTACTAATAAAGTTCTTCTAATCAAAATGCAACAATGAATTTAGAGTGCCATACGCCCTACCCTGCCTTTTGAGATTATAGTATTCGGAGTACATGTGGGCAGGTCATCCAATAATTTACTGTCAAACTTCTTCTTACAATCAGCTCCAAACTATGGGCACCTCTTTATTACAGACAGTACTTTTGGTTTCAAAACAAAACTTCATACAATAACGACAGTGTAGCTCAAAAACACCAGTTAATTGTTTCTAACATTTGTTGTAAGCAAACAACTTGATGTTTCATTTGTCAGGTTGAAATGTTTACTTACGCTACAATTCAGAAGGAATAACTAGGATTGGCAGGAATTTACACAAACCTGGGAATCATCTGGGAGATGTTATGGAAAATTTTATTGCCTTTTCGGATTTCATTCTTATGCAGTGACAGTGAAAAGTATCTACAATTTAACTATCTTACCGGCCTGTAGACGTGCTAAATATGCCAGTTTGAGTTCAGGAGTATTGTTACAATCCCCGATGGCGAACAAATTCTCAATTTCTTCCACCCTCAGGAATCGATCCACTTTAAGACTTCCATTTTTTTCCATCTTGTCAGAAAGCTTTGACTGGTATGCTATGGAATTGACTTTCAGTCCTGTGCAGCGAAACACCAGATCTGTTTCAATGCTGGTGCCTTTGTCCGTTGTCAGTGTTAAGGGTCCAGAAATCCAAGGTTTATCTGAATCAAACTGCCAAAAACATGTCTCCTATTAGAATTGCCTGTGTTACAGATGGAACTTAAGTCTGGTTAACTCCATCCGNAATGCTGGTGCCTTTGTCCGTTGTCAGTGTTAAGGGTCCAGAAATCCAAGGTTTATCTGAATCAAACTGCCAAAAACATGTCTCCTATTAGAATTGCCTGTGTTACAGATGGAACTTAAGTCTGGTTAACTTCATCCGCAAAACAGCGCCAAAATCCGTGTTCTGGGCCCCCAGCTGTGTACCAGAATTTGAGTACGACGTGGCACAATTCCCCTGTTAAATAACCCATTGTCAATTTGCCAGTTGGGATGAAAGGAAATTTGGAAGGAGGATCTTCCCACTGCTTCGCAGACGTTACTCACTGAGGTTAAATTATGTATGAGAGGCAGGTTATAGAAATATGGTAATTAATTTCTTCCATGTTTTTGCTTAAAGTAAAAAAAAAAACAATTATTTTTCTCAATGTATATCACTCTTTAAAGAAATATGTCTGAATATCTTAATCTTGCAATACATTTTCGGGAAACAAAATCATGTTCCTATTTATATTCATGACTAAGAGACGGGAATGGGTGTACAGCTCGAACTATGGAGCCTGAGTGTTTAATGCTGTCCAAATAACATACAAAGTTCAACATCATAACTAAAGAATGGTACACAAATATTCCTAAATAAAGTCACTCAGGCTAAACTATTCATGTGCACTGTCTGATACAAAAACCCAAAAACCCAATGGGAAAAAATTGGGAACATATTCCCCAACCGATGCGGTCGCACAACCTCTGGGGGTTAAAGGTAAAAAAATCAATCGATAGATGAATAAAGTAAGATATAAAAATAGAATTTGATAGTTCGAGAGCTGAGATGAATACATTACAACTGTCAAAACCTTATATACGTTACAACAATAGAGTCAATTAACGCTATAGCGGCTCATGTGCGTTCATACCAATAGGAAAGTATTTACATTCGCTGTCACTACCACTACGTTTAGCTCCGCCGAATGTAAATACATTTCTCTGTGCACTTAATTTTTCCTCTATCTTTCTATAGAGCTTGTAGCTTATTCAATAGAATTTTCCACATTTGATATCATTTTTCTTTCTTGGCTTCACCCAAAGGAACTCTATCATAACCCAATTGATAAACTATTACTTACATTCAAGTCATCCATATTTACACGCTCTCCAAGAATGGTCTCAACCTTTAAACCCTTAAGCCCATCACGTGCCTTCTTAATAAACTTTGGTGCCATTCGGTCATCAAGAATTTCTTCCCTGTTATGCACAAGAGTGATTTTCTTCTTTGGGTAGTCATTGGCTAATTCACCAGCCAACTCTAACCCAACAGCCCCTCCACCAATGACAACAATTCTGTCACTTTTAATGACCTAAAACGAACAAATTAATGCCAAGGAACAATGATAAATAGAAAAGTAAGTTTAAAACATGTTTACAGTGCAACTGGGAAAATGAACACCTAAAATATGTCAGGAATGCTCATTGTTTATAAACCTATCAAGTTTCAGGACTTCACGTGCCAAAACCGCAAACTGACTAACCGTTTGAAAATGTTAGTCTGGCTTAAGTGAAATCAATAGAAAAGGTTAAATTTTGCTTAGAATGATGTAAAAATAATTAAAATTGGTTCTGAAACATTGGCTGATTGTTGAGTTAGTTGTGATAAGTTTTAAGTGTTCAATAAATCGCTCATGGTTTTTGTTTGATGTTTGGCTCAATCAAGCTCTTTAAGACTATTAGTACCTGGTCAGTGCATTCCTTGTAAAGTTTTAAAGCATCTTCCATACTTGTTCCTAAAGGCAGCTTCCCTTCAAAAAATAAATCATACTCTTTTAGAAACTATAAAAACCTTACGTTACCTAGGCACTATGGCTTCATTACTTGGATTGCATGAAACCATTAAGGACAAAAACAAACCTAGGGGACAGACAAGGAGCAGTGTACAAGATCGAATGCTGCAACTGCCAGGCTTCCTACATTGGTGAAACTGGCAGAAACCTAAGCATGTGACTGACTGAACACAACCTAACAGGTTATGTTACTGAACCTGGCAATTTAAAATCCCATCAGCAACCTAATGAAATAGGAGTGATGGAGGCCAAAATATTTTTCCATAAAACCTGTGACACACAGGAACCTCAACAAAAGTCACCAAATTCATGGTTGAATATTATATTCCTGCATCAGTTAATGCAAAGATATTATAGACTCAGGAACTTACCTGGAAATGGAACAGATGAGCCACAGGCAAACACAAGATAATCGTAGCTAATCTCATTTCCACTGGAAAGTGTCACTGTTCTTCTGGAGATATTGCAACTAACAACACGATCCTGAACAAAGGTGCCATGCTTCAGAATTCCTTCATAAGGTATGAGAGTCTTCTTGACAAAAGACGGCTCAACGACACTTCGCAATCCTGCCATGTTATGATGAAAAGCATCTTTGGGATCAATGAGAGTGACTTTGCAGTAGCTATCAAGTTGCATAGCAACCTGAATGCCACCATAACCTCCCCCGACAATGACTACCTCACAGGAGTGTTTTGGCGGAGCTGATGATGAGTTCCCCATGACATCACTTGTGAGCACAAAAAGCACTCACGTGAAGCCTGTGGAAGTTTAATGTATCAAAAATTTAATACTGTTACCCTGCCTATAGTAGAATTCTGATCCTCTGATGTTACACAAGACGATTTGCAATGACGATTTTCAGCACAACATATCATTGCAACACCATTGAATAATTGTTTGGGGTGGTTACAACATTGTTCAACAATTGTAACGTTACATTGCGCTTAAAATTGTTGTTGTCAATCATCATCTCACCTTAACTTGGCAGACTTAACCCTTTAAGTCCCAATAGTGGCCAACATCAATTTTCTCCTGACAATATCCATAATTATGTTGCCAAGAGGAATGGTTATAAGAGTTAATAAAATGATCACTAAAGAAAAAATGCTTTGATCTGCTATTAAACTCTCTCAACTAATTCTTTCAAGAAATGTATGAAGATCAGTATGGAGAATTTATATGTGGACATTGGGGCTTAAAGGGTTAAGAGTCTGTTAGCTTGAATACAGTCAAACCCTGTTAAAATTACAGTCACCAAAGGAAAGTATCAGTATTAACTGGGTGTACTTATCCGCAAAAAGTAGGTTCAATTTCGAGAAAATGTAAGCAGGGGCCCTTTCTTCTTAGCATTTACATGAAGCCTGACATTCCATGACAGAGAAGCTGGGGTATTTCATAGAACCAACACGATAAGGCACATTGTTCGTTGACATTGAAAAAATATCAGAAGAGTAAAGAATGGCTATTGATTTGCAAATTAATATACAAGGGCTAAAGAAACAAATCTCTCATTTTGCATATTTCAAGTAAATTAATCAATTGGGTTTTGATAGAGTTTTGCTTCATATTTTAATAAAAACATTTAGAAATCTTCTTTATCTTACAAATTCAACAATTTTTATGCAAAAGACAGATTTGATTTATAAAAATGACTTATAAATAAGATATATTTGCGGTTACCACCTATACACTGAGGAATCTGTCAAAAGTCCTTGATTTACCCAAATACGTCTGCATAGATAATTTATAGTAAACGTGTGATGACTGTGTAAAAAAGCGTCTGCAGACATACATCTACTTTAATTGTTTATTTTCGAACTAGAAGTACAAAAATAACCGAAATAAATCTCAAATATTGAATCGCTTCATTATTGCATTCTTTTTGCTTGGCCTTAAGCAAATTACCATGCTATAGTATGAATGGAAAAGACAAAAAAATATCGGAAGAAAAGTTTTGCAAGCCTCGGTAAGCTTGGTCTCAGCTGTGAAATCTAGACTGAGATAACCTTATTGACAAGATCACGTTCTACACGAAAAAATAGAATCAAAAGGAAAACCCGTTTTCCTCCTTTACACTATATTCTTTTTAACCTCCAGGCTCAATGGCATTACAAATAGAGCGTAAAGCAGAGAAATGGGTCGTTCTTAAGTTTAACGATTCGCGCCCGCCTTCTTCAGGCTAGCTTTTATAAGAACAAAACAATACCGAGATCGCGAGAAACCACAAAAGATTCCTTCAATCTAGACACGACATTGAGAAGAAAGAAAGACTAAGTAGTTTTCCTACCTGGAGGGACGGTTGAAGTTAGACTACGGTCCACAGAAACCGTAAAAATCTCGACGATTATGTCTTCGAATCACCTTCGCCAACTTGACAGCTTCTTTTATTTGAACTGAGCCCGCGGGCTTGCTGTCCTTGTAAACAATCATATCGCATGCGCACTAGAGTGAGAGAAATCAATATGGCGGACGGTTTGCCTTCCGAGAGGTTGTCGAAGAAAGTTACGCCTTTTTTGAAGGTACGCTAACAGTTTTTCTGCTTAAACGTATTTTACTGTTGTAAATCTACAAATTGTATCTTTTGGCATGAAAAGCATTTCCTTGTAATTTTTTACGAATCCTTGCTTTGATTCATCGCTAAACAGCTCTCTGGTTTTCCGTTGTCGCCTAAATCCCTCGCCAGTTGTGTACTTGAAAACACTTTCAACCTTTTTATAGGTCAACCCAGGATAATGCACGAATTATGAAGGGAATATTACAGTTTATTTGAAATGTTTAAAATTTAATTTATTTTTCTTAGAGCAGTTGTTTGATCGCTGACTTAGAACAGATGCTTAGAAGGGGTGTGCGATCGAAGGACATGCATTTACGTTAAATTGCAGAAAATCCAAGAAATGCCATTGTGTAATGAAAAATATTTGTTTGAGACTATATGCTTCGTCGATAGGTACTTCTATTTTTTTTTTCAATTCGCCATCTTCCTTTAATCGAATTGCATGTAGTACGAATTATTTATTACTTACTTTATTTCTCTCTTGTCAAGTGGTTTGACATCTTTTGTTCTTACATCGCGTTTCAAATTTGGCCATCAACAATTAAGCATATTTTCCTGGAAATCTTTTCCGCATTTGTCTTTCCTTTGTTTATTTTAATGTATTAATATTATACTATGTTATGCACCTTTATTTTTAAACTTAAAAATACATCGTAGTGTTATTTTTCCTTACTTTTTAAGAGAGGATCATGATGATGTGTTAAGTCAGGATGTGTGCAGAAATGATGGATATCACCAGAGATGAATCAAAAAGAATTCTCCGTAGGCTAGGTTAGTTGACCTTTGTTGATTCACCTACCAACAACTGTATTAGAGTATCAGAAGTTGCAGTGTGATAAAAATAATATTACTAATAATAATATTGATGATGATTATGATGATGATGGTAATAATGTTGTTGATGATGACGTTGATTATATTGTAGCACAATGTACATTATTATTCGCAGAAACTACTAAATTATCTTTTTTTTATTTCGTCTTGAAAGCTGGAAGGATTGCATTGGTTAATCATGTAATCATAATTTCTTTTCCTTTTTCTTTTCATTTAGAGTTAGAAGCATATTCTTCTATTATCAGTGCATTCAGGGCCCAAGGAGAATTAAGTCGGTCAGTTGATTTGTTTGTCTTATAGTAATAATGAAGTGTCCCCAATTAGTGCAGCACTTTTGGTGTGCTAGAAGCTCTGGCATGTTGATAAAGTTGTTGATTGATTGACAGTTATAATAAGATGCCCAATTATTTTTTTTAGGTAAAAATGTGCTTTGATTAATTACTGCTTGTTTATGATGTGGAATTTTTATAAGAAAGGAAATCACAGTATGGAAGAGATTTGGAAATTATCAGTGAAAACTAGTAAAGGCGGTTGATATTATAGCTCCTAGACTGCAAGCAGTGTCTTATTTTTCTTTTGAGCTACAGTAAATCGAGAGCAGGCACCCTATAGCTCCCAGCATAGAGATATGTCTATGAGTTGTACTTGCTATACACTTTTTTCCAAAATGGTGGCAAAATTCTCTATTATTAATCTTCTTGATCATTGGCCTTCTATGTTTTGTTTAAAGGTGAAAGTTGTTTTTGAACTCTGTATATGCAGTTAAAGCAAACAAAGCTGACTAACATAAAGATAACAGAAAGGAATATTGCCACCATTTTGGAGAAAGGTGTATTGTGTCAAGCAAAGAAAAGCAACAGTGGTGATTGATCTGGAATGGTAATTTTGTACTCTATTTCACCAACAACAAGAAGGGAAAACTGTTATTCACATTCTTAATGCATTTTTTTTCCATATATAGGGCTAAAAAGAAGATTTTGCAGGAACTGGGAGCTCAGCTCAGGTAACTGACTGAACTGTATTCTTCATCTTACATCTTACCTTCCATTGTCGACTTACTGCAAATTTAGTCAGCAAACTATTTTTCTACTTACCATGGTGGTCGATAGCTTGGAGGGCTGAACACTTACATTACCATTATTTTTTTATGATTAATGTATTATTGTACAGTCTCAAGAACGTTAGTTTATAGTTCCCCCCACATAAAATTTTTAATGACCTTCACTGTAACATACATATTATCTATTTCCTTTCCTTGGGTTTGGAAGGTTACCAGTCATTTCGATACAAGTTAATCCCTTCGAGGTGTAAATAATTTAATGTGCTTGGCTTAAAGAACAAAGAATATTCACCCCAAATTTTTTCTTGTTCAATTGCAAGTACTTGAAGTGTCCAAAATTTTTGTGCAATTTCACTGCTTGAGTTCTCGTAGCAAAATGACTTGTATTGAAATGACTTTGTATCAAAACGACAGGACTCTGTTTGGAAGGGTAGGGATGTTTCCTGAAAATTACATGATGCAGGTAGAGTAATCAAGGCTTGAAAAAGGCTTGAATTCCAGCTTGTCCTTTGGGCAAGCAGCTGTCATATTTTTGTTACACAGGGTCACTTCTTGCTAGTCTTAGTGAATGATTTTATTAGAGGATGACTTGCCTGGAGTCTTACCCATTGGACAAGTAAGCTTTAAAAGTTACTTTCCCAGCAAGAAAATCTACTTGTCCTGGACTACCAGGCAGGACTATTTTTAAGCCCTGAGCCATATGTTTTTACAACTTGATATACTGTTTACTCTAATAGCGATGTGTGACTAAGTCACTAAAAGTCTTTTGGCACTTTAAATTTAATAGTATATCCACTGAACGCCATAGAGCTGAGGTGCGAAGAGCCTATAGTGATGACAGATTGGCTATCGTGGCGGAAAGGTACAGTAGGCTTCAATATTTCCCTTAACGTTTTAAGTCTCCACTACAAAATGCAAATGCTAGGCTGTGATAACCATGGCCATCAATTTAAAAAGTCAAGAACTACACTTTTTTGCAAGAATATAGTAACATAATGTTTGTTTGCATTTTTTTGTGAAGTATTTATGGTGCTGGGAGCTGTGCTGAATGGGCGGCAGAAGGAAGAAGGCTTGTTCCCTTGATGCCACGTCTTGTGCCTCAAACAGTGTTCAGTGCTTCAGCTACTGCAGCAGCTAATTCTGCCGCTGCAGCTAATGCTAAGACTCCAGCCTCTTCAGGTACTGTTCATTAAACCTGTTGATATTGTTACATTAACACTCCCTGGGTTCAGCAAATACAGCTATACGTAAGAAATGTACCGCAAAAGTGACAAGTTTTGACTGTTTTTTATTCCGATTGCTCCACTCTTCACACACTTGTCAGATCAGATATTGGATAACCATATTTGGAATGCAGCATGCAGCATCACACTACGCCAAGTACAACAATGACCTGGTACAATAATACCAGAACACTAGGGTGCATATATGTACAGGTCATGAAAATCATGAAAAGAAGTGGAAATTTAATATTTTAAAATCCACTCAAAGGCTGTGTTGTGAGAAAAATTGAAGGGAACTTAGTACTCTTAAACTGTTAAATCCACATTTCCCCGCATATGATTTCTATGAAAAAAATTAAGATGCTCTAGTTACCTGGTAACAAAAATTAGCAGGCGGCAGGGGCCACTGGACATTCTTAAAGCACGGCCTTGCAGTCCTCGAAATCCTGAAATAAGATCCCCACACGTAAGAAAATATATTTCTTGTCCCATTTTTAGGCACACATGTACATCATTTCTTCCCATCCATTTACCACTTTAGGGTCTTATTTTGTAGCCTACATGTAGCCGCACCCTCCCCCCGACAAAGGAAAAACAGAGAGAGGGAGCTCCTTCTGTCCATTTTTCCTTTGTCTGGAGTAGGGTGCGGCTACACGTAGGCTACTTATTGTGCCATTAATTGTATATTGCACGGTCCTTGCTTTCACTGTCAGGGTTGCTTAATGTCCCTTTTGAGTGTTGTCATTGTCCTATGTTTGAAAGCCATAGGTTTTGTTTGATTTGTTTTGATTTTATTTTCCTCAGTCAACAAAGCTGGGAGTAGTTCAAGTTCACTGAATGCCACCACAAACTCTTCATCTTCTTCCAGTCCACAAAACAGCTCTAAAGCTGCAACTGTGAAACAGCAGACTCAAACAGGTTAACCCACTCCTCTTTTGACTTCACCCTCTGTTATATGAAATCAACATAATTTTACAATTCTGCTTACTGAGTTCCACTGGATGTCACAAAACTAAGACGATGCTGTAAGTGGGGAAACAAAGCACTGTTGCAGATTACAAGTGATAGACTTCATTCTATGTCAACGAAGTGAACAAAAATTGGGCTTTTCTTTAGCAATGTAGGCATGCATGATTCATGACAGTGATATCATTCTTCTGATAGCCCACTATTTTTTTTCTTTTAAGTGTTCTTAATCTCTTTTCTTAGATGTATGAAGAGCTGAAGACTTTTTTGTACACCCCATAAGCAAACGGTGGCTATTTTTATTCTATTTCTGTTACAGAACTGGTCAAATTTGATTTCAGGTTGAAATATTTTACCCTAGGTTGATTCTCGATCTTCTTTGTCTTCAGGTTCTTGGGCTAGGAGGCAAAGGAAATTGAGTACCGATATTAACTAAGGTTAAATCAAAATTAACTGGAAATCAAATTTGACCTGTATCATTTCTCTTTACCAGTCAAGAGAACAGCTTGCTGAGTAGTACTGCTAAACTGAGAGGGAGGAAAACCTGAGTATAAAAGATTTGAACAACTGTCTTTGGAAAAGTTTTATAATAAGGGTGTGCCCAAGGTGGGGGTGGAGGGGGGAGAAATAAAATGACTGACACATTNGTTCAAGTTCACTGAATGCCACCACAAACTCTTCATCTTCTTCCAGTCCACAAAACAGCTCTAAAGCTGCAACTGTGAAACAGCAGACTCAAACAGGTTAACCCACTCCTCTTTTGACTTCACCCTCTGTTATATGAAATCAACATAATTTTACAATTCTGCTTACTGAGTTCCACTGGATGTCACAAAACTAAGACGATGCTGTAAGTGGGGAAACAAAGCACTGTTGCAGATTACAAGTGATAGACTTCATTCTATGTCAACGAAGTGAACAAAAATTGGGCTTTTCTTTAGCAATGTAGGCATGCATGATTCATGACAGTGATATCATTCTTCTGATAGCCCACTATTTTTTTTCTTTTAAGTGTTCTTAATCTCTTTTCTTAGATGTATGAAGAGCTGAAGACTTTTTTGTACACCCCATAAGCAAACGGTGGCTATTTTTATTCTATTTCTGTTACAGAACTGGTCAAATTTGATTTCAGGTTGAAATATTTTACCCTAGGTTGATTCTCGATCTTCTTTGTCTTCAGGTTCTTGGGCTAGGAGGCAAAGGAAATTGAGTACCGATATTAACTAAGGTTAAATCAAAATTAACTGGAAATCAAATTTGACCTGTATCATTTCTCTTTACCAGTCAAGAGAACAGCTTGCTGAGTAGTACTGCTAAACTGAGAGGGAGGAAAACCTGAGTATAAAAGATTTGAACAACTGTCTTTGGAAAAGTTTTATAATAAGGGTGTGCCCAAGGTGGGGGTGGAGGGGGGAGAAATAAAATGACTGACACATTAATTAATGTTATAACCATCATAGGTACGGCACAGGGGAGTGAAGCTGATGGTTTTGACGATGATGGTAAACCAAAACGAAAAAGACGGTTGAGTGTATCAAGTCTAAATAAACCTGTAACAAAAGTTACCATTCCCACCCCTACTCTGGTGTCAAAGGCGCCAACCAAGCAGACCACATCAGTAAGTACTATGACCAAGTCTGGCAAAGCTCTCGGACCTGCTGGCACGGTTAAACCGGTTCCGCGTATGTCACCACTCCCTGCCTCTTCATCACAGGTGAAGCTTCTTACAAAGACAGTAGCAGTTTCGCAGGCAATCTGTCAGGCAAAGACTGTTCTTAACTATAAAACTATGACAACTGTTGCATCATCACCGGCCAAAACGCAAACAGCGATGACTCAGTCAATTCCCAAGAATCAGAGCAAAGTTGCCTCTGTTTCTGCTCCTAAAGCCGTCTTGGCATCAAAGACCCCACTGTCAACCGTGGGCAAGGGTGTGTCCACTGGAGCAGCATCAAACCCAGCGGCCACTGCAAATCCGATTGGGGTTGCTCTTAAAACCAGTTTAACAGCAGCCCAACTGGCTTCAAAACAAAAAGCAAAGCCAGCAGCAGCCAGATTTAAACCTCTTCCAGGAACTGTTAAATTCAAGTCTGTCACTCCAGCTACCATGGGAACCTGTTCAACAGTTACCATGGTAACTCCCAGTCCTAGTTCTCAGGCCTCCTCGACCTTGCCAGCTACCAGCACTCAACCTGTAGTTCGAGTCATTCATGTCCCAGGAACAGGAGGTGTTGGTGTGAGCAAGCCAGTGGTTGTCATGACAACAGGTCTCACCAAAACAACAGTTGCAGGTGTTGTGCCTGGAGTAAGCAGTGCAGCCAGCTTAACAAAGACAACATCTCAGGTAAGAAGATTTTTGCTGTTGATACAAAAGGCTTTTAATAAAAATAAATAAATTGACTTATAGGGGAAACACATTAGGCCATTTTCAAGTTAAAATCTCTCACTTTAAAAACAAGGCTAAGTGCAAAATCTCTCTTAGCTTGTAAAAGTGAGTTTTATTTGTGTGAGAATAAAAAAACCTTTTAAATCAATGGCTTGGGGCAACTCAAAAATGGCCTATTACTGGTACCCAGTAGTTTTTATTGTGGTGCACAAATGCATTTGTAAGGACAGTGACAAACATTTGAAATTAGACATAACATTGTAAAGAATCCCAGCTGGCAGGAGGCTAACCAGCTGAATATTTACAAGGTTGACTGAGGAGTTGAACATTGGACTTCAGAGAACAAACCGAGCTAGGGGCTAGGGCGGGGGGATTGAACTTGTTGCCTCTGTATTGCAATTCCAGCACTCTGACCTCTTAGCCATCCCAATTGAATTATGCAGAACAAGGGAGGTGCTGTAACTAAAGGCTTAAATCATCTAGTAATAAGGCAAATAATGTAACTCTTCCAAATTTTAACAGGGTTAGCAAGTGTGAAGAAGTTTGTCAAATTTTAACCCATCAGGCCCCAGTTGTTCAAAAGGTGGATAACCCTATCCAGTCGATAACTCAGTCGGTTTTCCTAATACTTATCTGCTGGATAATGATTTATCTGTTGGGTAGTGCTATCTAACGTTTTAGCAACCGGGACCTGATTATTGAAGAAATATTTTGAATGAATAATATGAAGTCTTATTCATTGCAATCTTCATGTTATTGTTGATCAGCTGACTCAAAATCCTTCAAGCAACAAGACTGTAGCCTCGACATCTACCACTTCATCTTCTCTGTTGAAACCCAAAGTTTCCAGTGCAGTAACTCAAGCAGCACCATCAGCATCAAAAACTGTTGTCATGACAACACTAGTAGGTGGGACAAAGAGAGTGGTTCTCTCAGTCCCAGCTCCCTTGCAGCCTTCTCCAACGGTTCCTGCCCCCACTACCTCCTCCCAGGGAATTGTCATCACTAAGACACAAGGTAAATGGTTGAAATAAATCACCTTTTTAGTTCCGTTTTGCTTTAAAAATTATTATATGGCCATTCAGTTTATACTGCTAGGGTTTTGAGAAGTGATATGATCAACATGTCACGAGCACAGGACAAAGAAAAAAAGGATCATTTTACGTTTCTAGGAAACTGCCCACCTACCCCTCCCCTAAGCTAACATTAACACTTACTTTTCACTTAGGGCAAAATGCTTGCTTAGGGGAGGGGTAGGTGGACAGTTTCCCAGAAACGTAAAATGATCCGGAAAAAAACGAGTCCCCGACAGGAATTGAACCTATGACGTTCCATACACCAGTTGGATGCTCTAACCACTGAGCTACGACGGACTTCTGGAGTGCTGGACTATAAGCAAGGTTCATGTATGACATGCATACTGCTAGGATCAGCAATGTTGAAATTGTCATGTGTGTGGTAATAAAGAATGATGGATTTTACTTATAAGTCAAAACCTGTTTAATAATACGGGCACAGAGGAGGCCATAGGAAGTGTCTATATTAAATGGGTGTCTGTATTAACAGGGCTGTCATTAAGAGCTGGGGACCGGGGATCTTCCCTTGCCCCCAGCTATTTTCATTTGAAAACAGAAGATGAATAAAACCAAAAGAAATCCCTACCTGTTTGATTCCCCACCTACTTGATGCATTTTTCGCAGCAACTTGAAATCTTACTGACAACCCTGGTATTAAGCTGGTTGAATGTAGGGAGGGGCTTTCTTCCCCCAGGGAAAGGTCTGTCCATAATAATGAGGTGTCCATATTAAGCAGGTGTCCATTGTCTATAAAGGGTGGTTTAACTTTATTATGAATGTGAAGAGATTTTTAAAAGGATGTTGCAAGCGGCAATTTACATCAGATTTAATATTTTAGAGTTTTTAAAAAATGGTGACCAACTGTCCCATAACATAGTTTAATGCCCACAATCGGCGACAAAATTGTTGAGACATTGTACTCAAATAGGGTAACTTCGGAGAACAAAAGAATCTGCACCCCTGACGCTGTCCCCTCCATTCAAAGTTGGGGTGTTTGTTGTTTTCTATAGGTAGCTCAAACATTGGCACAACATTGCATGGAGGGGATGGGGGAGGAAAAGCTATATTTCCTCCTTTTGAAGTTAGTAAAACATCAAAAAGCCCAGTTTTGGGCAAAGTGTCTCAACTCATTTTGTCACTGATTGCAGGTAAAGAAAATCCTTTGCATGCTCTAGAAATAGGTCCAGCTAAAGACCAAAGTCCAAATGCAGAACTTTTTAAAGGAAGCTTTTTTAATGGAACCCTCTTTTTACTTAGCTATGTAACAAATTATTTAGACCCTAGAATTTTTAGTTTCAGTCTGAATTAAAGTTTTAAGTACACAAAATATGGGATTTGCAATAGAGCACTTGAAGGATTTTACTCATAGGGATTAAACGATTAACAGTTTAGTAATTACCTTGTCAAAGGCTGCTGGACCTTTGTAGTTGATCTATTTTTTTCAATATATTTTAGGTGTTGGATTGACTACCCTTGCTGTCACACAGTCCACTTCTAAGAAGGACAATAAAATTGCTCCAGCTCTAACCACTGTCAATATCAAGCCATGTCCCACCCAAATAACACCCAGTCTGTCTGCCCCAACTGTCACCACGCAAGTTAGATCAAGACCCCTCCCAGCCATTCTTCCTGCCCCACCCAAACCATCGAGCATGACACAAGCACCATCAAGTGTCACCGCTGCCTCAAGCATCAGAAAGCTTCCTACCATCTTACCAGCACCAGCCAAGAATGTAACTGTCATTCCAACTGTCTTAGTTCCCATGGCAACTGGTGTGGGTGCACATGCTGGCGCGCAACTGCAGTCATCAGTGCCGCTGGCTGTTAGTACCACCATCTCTGGTGTAGGGATGCCAGGTCTGAATGATGTTACATCACAGCAGTATCCATCTACTTCAGAGTCGGGTTTGATTTCTGCCGATCAGAGCAACCACAGTTCAGTTATGAACGAGAATAGTGAATTATCGGAAGTGTCAAGCTCAAAAATGCCTGTGATAAATGAACCAAGTTGTGTGCCTGAAGGTGACAATAATACATCGTCTGAAGATGACTCTCTCCTTATGTGCTCAGAAACAATTGACAACAGCTGTAGTATCACCGAGGCACCATCTACTGTTGATTTTTTTACAAGTGTAGCAGAGAGCACACCCATTAAAGACCAAGCTGAAAACAATGCAGTTGATCTGTCACAAACGTCATTAGATTCAACTGAGGAACATGAAGCGACTCGCAAAACAGGATTAGGCCCATTGTCTTTGCAAGATATTGAAGTATCTGTCTCTGATTTAGACACTGAAAATGGAGTTCAGAAAGATTTGTTTATTGAAGCAGACTCTTGTGAAAATCACACCGAGGCATTTGCAGAATCTATTGAAAATGTCACAGTACAGAGACTGGATGTTTCTGGGGAAATTTCTGATATAGCAGTGGGTGGTTTGTCTGAGGAAATCTATGCCGAATCAGATGTGGCTGATCTTGAAGAAGAGAAGGATCACAGACAGGAGGAAGATTCAGATCAGAGCTTATCTTTGGGGGAAACTCATTGTCATGACAAAACTGTGAGTGTAAAAGATGCTCAAGATGGGTTGCCTGTGGAGAATCCTGGGTTACCTGTGCAGAATGCATTACAAATAATTGAAAGTTTCGTGGAAAGCATGGAAGCAAGCTCTGGAGGCCAAGTGGATGATTCCCAACTTCCATCCCACAATTTTTCTTTAGGATTCACTCAATCTTCTAATTTGCAAAATTCATCTCTGCCTGAAGTTCCTGGAAATACCTCTGAGAAGGGAGATGTAATCTGTGAACAGCTAACAGCTGTAGCAGATACTGTCAAAAGCCTTGGGGAAGGTCAAAACTCAAACCTTTTAACAAAATTTGAGGAAGAGAATTGGGACTCTTCAGATCCGCCTATTGATGTCTTGTCTACTTCCACAAGCAGTTCAAACAGTGCTTCAGAGAGTATCGAGTTGACAGAGAAGGAAATCAAAGCTCTTGAAGCCTTTGGTAGTATAAGAACAAGTGGAAGAAAAAGGAAACCTCCAACATCTCTTGATGTGTCACCACCAAGGCAAGTTAGTGGCTGGGTTCGTGGTGCTCTTAGGTATGTAACTATGGCTTGTACAGTACAGTCATTTATCTGTTGAAGTTTATTCTGTCAACAGCACTCTAGTGGTAATGGTGGTGGTAGTGGCAGTGGTGGTGATGATATAGGTAGTATTTTTATGTAGTAGTAGCAGTGTTGTCAGTGGAAATGCTGGCAGTGAAAGTGGCAGTAGCAGCATTGGTAGCAGGTGTAACAGCCCAATGGTATTAGTGGTGGTAAAACTTAGTATTATCTGAGAAATGTATGTAATAATGAAATTAGAGAGATTTAGAGTCACGTATACGACAAACAGAAAACATCATACTCATCATTGAGAATTGTTCTTGAAATAGTAAAAGAGCAGATAAAAACACTCCAAAACAATTCTTATGGATTAACCTGGTGTCAAACTAAATGGCATGTAANCAAACCTTTTAACAAAATTTGAGGAAGAGAATTGGGACTCTTCAGATCCGCCTATTGATGTCTTGTCTACTTCCACAAGCAGTTCAAACAGTGCTTCAGAGAGTATCGAGTTGACAGAGAAGGAAATCAAAGCCCTTGAAGCCTTTGGTAGTATAAGAACAAGTGGAAGAAAAAGGAAACCTCCAACATCTCTTGATGTGTCACCACCAAGGCAAGTCAGTGGCTGGGTTCGCGGTGCTCTCAGGTATGTAACTATGGCTTGTACAGTCATTTATCTGTTGAAGTTTATTCTGTCAGCAGCACTTTAGTGGTATTAGTGGTGGTAGTGGTAGTGGTGGTGATGATGTAGGTAGTATTTTTATGTAGTAGTAGCAGTGTTGTCAGTGGAAATGCTGGCAGTGAAAGTGGCAGGGGCAGTGTTGGTAGCAGATGTAGCAGCCCAATGGTAGTAGTGGTGGTAAAACTTAGCATTATCTGAGAAGTGCATGTAATAATGAAATTAGAGAGATTTAGAGTCACGTATACGACAAACAGAAAACATCATATTCATCATTGAGAATTGTTCTTGAAATAGTAAAAGAGCAGATAAAAACACTCCAAAACAATTCTTATGGATTAAACTGGTGTCAAACTAAATGGCATGTAAAGGGACAACTTGGTCGCATGTTACAAATTCATGTTCGCCATTTGCCAAAAAGTGAGTTGTAAATCTCTTGACCATTGTAGGTTTGGTATAAATAAAAATAATATAATGTGGTAAAATGAGATAATGAGATACCAAGTTCTTGGTTAGTCAAAATTCATTTTCTTGAGCCAAGCACATTTTAATAGTTTAATATTGTTCAGACCCTCTGAGGTTAAATCTTTTGAACCTGGCACTGTTTTGATTCAAGGTGTACTGGTCCAAGTACTGAATGCAGGCAGTGCTGATATTGACAATAACTTTATTTTTAATACCATGTTTTGCAGTTTGCTGCAAAAGGTTGCTAGTTATCGAGGACAAGGAAGACGGAAAGGTGACTTTGGCGCTGCTTCCTGGTTCCTCAAACCAGGTACCTTATAAATACAAGTCTTCTCCTTTTTTTTTTCTTCTCCCCAAATAGAGCACCATGGGAGGGGAGGTATGATGCTCTAGTAAAGTAAAACATCTCAAATGTCAGATCAAGTGTCAGTATTTTAGTCTTGGCTCTGTCATTAAGGTATTTTTTCTAATCTTCAACACACTCACTCTCACTGTCCACTTGTAGTGATAAGTACTAGACTTATCCACACATAACGGTGTGTTTCCCTGTTGGAGACCTCCTTGGCTTGTGATTTACTTGCATCTTGTCTGGAGGGAATTACAGGGTGTAGAAATAATTGTAGAGACTTAATACCACAGGAGCTTTGCCAAGCTAAGTGGATATCCTGTGGCTCACATAGTAAATCTCACATAGTAGTGAGTTCTTTTCTGGACCTCACCCATTGCTTCTAATAATGGCAAAATGAAAAATATTTTTAAAAAAATAACTATTTTGCAAAATCCTAATATTTTTATAGTGCTATGCAAAATTCCTGCCAGCAGGTTTCATTTGAATGGTAACACCATTAGTATTTAGTCCACAGATGCAAAAGTTACATGTACAGTGGGGAATCATCTAAGCATAACTAAACTTGTTCTACAGTGTGACTGAAAAAGTAAACCAGTTCAAATTCCCTCCCAAAAGATTACACATTGTAATTCTTTTGACTCAAAGGATGAAATCCTATATGGTATGACCCTTCTTGTGATGGCCACTGAGCAGTACTTTCTCATAGAACAAGAAATTTGTTAAGTTAGAGCGGTTTTCACTTGACTGTCGTAAAACCAAAACCAAAGTAAATACACTAGCCAACCAAAGGGCGTAGTAAAACCAAAACCAAAACCAAAACCAATCCCTTTCGACAGTCAAGTGAAAACCGCTCATCACGTATACGACAAACAGAAAACATCATACTCATCATTGAGAATTGTTCTTGAAATAGTAAAAGAGCAGATAAAAACACTCCAAAACAATTCTTATGGATTAACCTGGTGTCAAACTAAATGGCATGTAATTAAGGGACAACTTGGTCGCACATTACAAATTCATGTCCGCCATTTGCCGAAAAGTGAGTTGTAAATCTCTTGACTATTGTCTGTTTGGTATAAATAAAAATAATATGACGTGGTAAAATGAGATAATGAGATACCAAGTTCTTGGTAAGTCAAAATTCATTTTCTTGAGCCAAGCACATTTTAATAGTTAATTGTTCAGACCCTCTGAGGTTAAATCTTTTGAACCTGGCACTGTTTTGATTCAAGGTATACTGGTCCAAGTACTGAATGCAGGCAGTGCTTATATTGACAGTAACTTTATTTTTAATACCATGTTTTGCAGTTTGCTGCAAAAGGTTGCTAGTTATCGAGGACAAGGAAGACGGAAAGGTGACTTTGGGGCTGCTTCCTGGTTCCTCAAACCAGGTACCTTATAAATACAAGTCTTCTCCTTTTTTTTTCTTCTCCCCAAATAGAGTACCATGGGAGGGGCGGTATGATGCTTTAGTAAAGTAAAACATCTCAAATGTCAGATCAAGGGTCAGTATTTTAGTCTTGGCTCTGTCATTAAGGTATTTTTTCTAATCTTCAACACATTAACTCTCACTGTCCACTAACTTGTAATGATAAGTACTAGACTTATCCACACATAACCGTGTTTTTCCCTGTTGGAGACCTCCTTGGCTTGCGATTTATTTGCATCTTGTCTGGAGGGAATTACAGGGTGTAGAAATAATCTTAGAGACTTAATACCACAGCTTTGCCAAGCTAAGTGGATATCCTGTGGCTCACATAGTAAACTCCTTGTTGTGGTGTCAGTAGTGAGTTCTTTTCTGGACCTCACCCTTTGCTTCTAATAATGGCAAAATGAAAAATATTGCAAAATCCTAATATTTAAATCGTGCTATGCAAAATTCCTGCCAGCAGGTTTCACTTCAATGGTAACACCATTAGTATTTAGTCCACAGATGCAAAAGTTACATGTACAGTGGGGAATCATCTAAGCATAACTAAACTTGTTCTACAGTGTGACTGAAAAAGTAAACCAGTTCAAATTCCCTCCCAAGAGATTACACATTGTAATTCTTTTGACTCAAAGGATGAAATCCTATATGGTATGACCCTTCAAGTGATGGCCACTGAGCAGTACCCTCTCATAGAACAAGAATTTTGTTGTGTTATTTGCCAAGAATTCCTGTTTAATTCTAACATGTTTTATTGTTGGCAATTCCTACTTACAGTTGACCCAGTAGATGCACCAGGCTACTACAAAGTCATTAAAAATCCCATGGATTTTGGCACGATAAGAGTTAAACTAGAGGTTAGTCAAATTACTTTTGAAAGTCTTCTTCTACTTACAATAATGTTACAACACAATGGTACCATTTTATGATTATGTTATTTTCAATGTACTTATTTTTTAAGTTGTATTTTATCTTCGGATGTAAGAACACACCTTGTGAACATGACTTAGAATACTTAAAGTTCTTATTGTTGTTACATAAAAGTAATTTAAAACATCTGACTTATCACTCATGAATGCTATTTTCAGACTGGAAAGTATCAGGAGTATTCCGAATTTCATGCTGACATGATGTTAGTGAAAACAAACTGTTTAAAGTACAACCCACCTGGGCACGATGTGCGACAGGTCAGTGCATAATAATACTAGTGTTAGATTCTGGGAAACTAAACTTCTCACCTACCCCACCCTCCCTTAACCCAATGTTAACATTAACTTCTCGTTCAAGGCAAAAAGTTGAGTTATGGGAGGGGTAGGTTGGCTGTGTCCTAGAATATTTTACTGATCCACTGTTTATTATACATCATTCCAAGCTGGTTGAGCAAGTTAAAACGATGCTTGTGTTGTAAATGGCTACCCAAAAGGACAAGATTGGACTGGCTTGCCTGATTTGGATTTTCTGCTACATTTCTCACCAAGGGAATATTTTTTAGGCTTATGTAATAAATCTTTTATCATTTTGTGTAAAGTACTGACCTTTTTGTTGCAGGACTGTGAGGAAGTTTTCCGTTTTTATGAAACAGAGTATGGGAAAATGTTGGAAAGATGGGAAAAGGTAATTTGAATAAATAAATAAATACATAGACATTTGGTGCTTGATTGAATTAGACAGAAAAATAGATTGAATTAGATAGAAAAATAAAATCACTCCGCTGTCAAATAATTCTGGCAGGTTTTTAGCTCTTATATTAGTTTATAAACCAGCTGAGTAACAAACCAAATATAGCTACAGTGATTAAAGAATCAGGCAATTGATCAAGAGTCACTTGCATGTCATCTTCCATCTACCCCTCTAAAGCATATTGCCCATGGACACCTCCAGGAGCAGTATCTAGGGGTGTGTGGGTGGGGTTAATCTGGTGCCCATGACACCCACATCTTACTCCTGGGTTCAAACTTTTCACAGCAATGCTCCTTTTGTACAGTACAAATTTGCATCTTTTTATCTCAGCTTTTCTGTGACTTATAAAGCCACAGCAAATCATAATATTGTTGGGAACTGCTAAAATGCACCACCCTCACCTCTGAAATGATGGTGATTATATTGTAAGGAATGTTGCTGATATTGTTCGAGTGAGGTTTTAATAGAACCGCTGTAATTGAAAATGAGGGTTAATCCCTGATGATACTGTTGATCCACAATTGCCAGGGTGTAACTTTCATTTTCCAATTACTAAACAGCAATTGAAAACCTCACTCATAATATTTTACCATTAATTTTGAAACTTGCTGCTGAAGGACAATAAGCCCTGTTTCTGATTATTTTTGCCCTTGTCATTAATTTTAATGATAATCAATGGCCTACTGTCACAACAGATATTTGGCTCATAGGGCAACAACCACTTTGTTTTAACCTGTCCCTGTTAAAGGGGCTTGTAATAACCTAGGTTTGGAGTTCCTGGACAAACATTTATTTTTGTTAACTGCTGCATTTATTTGTTTTATTTCAGTGTCATGTTTCTCCAGCAAAGAAGCCAAGACTTACATCAAAGTCAGAGACCTCCACATAAGATGCGTAAATTGTCATACACAGTTTTACTATTTTAGCTTGGTTAGAAACTATGCATGAAGATATGCCTACAAAACGTAAAAAAAAAAAATTGTACATTTTGTATATTTCAACTACAAATTAATGGTTAGTGACATACTTCACCTTTTAATACTATGCTGCTGAATGACCTCACAGAAATTTAACGTCATGTGATTAATACTGATAAACTTAAGTTATATGATAAAAATTCACCAATCACAGATCACAAACCTTCCTTCTTGCACACTATGAGCAAACCATACCATCAAATAGTTGGAATTTGAGCCGAAAGGCTAATTTGTTTGAAAGTGTGAGCTCAAAAAAAATCTATAAGTGAGGGACTCATGCCTAAGATGCTCTCTCCTCCGCAAAGGCTCCCGTATTACAGGAAAAATAGCAATAATCGAAAAATTAAAAGAAAGCACACTAGAGGGCTTCCTTTTCCATTCTCCCCAGCTTCCCTACAACACAGAAACCTCTGCAGAGGAGTCTGAGAGCCTAAGATGTAATAGTTGGCAGGTATACTTAACCCTTTAAGCCCCAGTATCCACATACAAATTCTCCAAACTGATCTCCATACATTTCCTTTAAGAATAAGTTGGGAGAATTTGATAAAAAGATCAAAGTATTTTCTCTTTGGTGAGCATTTTATTAACTCTCATAACCTTGAGTTTTCTCTTGCCAATGTATGGATATCGTTAGGAGAAAATTGATGTTGATCACTATCGGGACTTAAGGGTTAATTACCTTTCCTTATTTAAGAAAGAAAAAGCACTCCCTGGCTAATTGAGATGAGTTTTTAAGAATTTTACATAAATAATGCCCTTATAAGGAACAAAAGTACACTGACCATACCTTTTTATAGCCTGCATAGCAGCCAGACTAAGACCTAGATAGAGAGCTCTGTACAGTCTATATCAGGGATTTAGACTGTCTGTAATGTAGGCTATGAGGGAGATGACACTGTCGTCTACCCTTCAAATTCTATTTAAGGTCTCTGTCTTTGTGTCCCTTTGCGAGGATGTTATTAAGGTCTTGTTTTTGTCACTAATAAGTTCTTGGTGTTGTCATTAACCCTCTTGTACAGATAATTCCCCTTCAGACTGCAACAGTGTTGTAAGTTGTTGTTCACTGCAAATAGAAGGCAATAGCCTACCAAATTGTACAGCATAAACAGTCAAAACTTTTTACAGGCATCTCTGTGGGTCAAGCGCCTCCTAAGAGTTAAGTTCCTGTTTGTTCCTCAGCCATCTCTGTAACCCTCTTTAAGATGGAAACCTGTCCAATATGTGGACGCTTGGTGCTGGTCCCAATACTTAGAGAGGGATCATTGTCAACGTTTCCATATTTTTAACATTATTATTATTGTGTATATTTTTCATCAGAATGTGTTAGTCTGCACTGTTCAACAAGCAAATAAACAGTGTAGGAAATCTTGAGATTTCATGATTTTTCTCAATGCACACAATGGGTTTCAACTTGAGAAGGAGGTTGGGGTGTCATTTTGAATAGCCTGCAAATACAGCTGTTTCTCCTTGCTCCTCGCTGCTAGGGATGTTTCGCCAGGAGGAAGTCTGTGCCTGAGCAACAGAAATTCCTTACTGATGACATAAATCAATGTTTACATAATAAATCTGGTAGTCATGGCGTTCCAAATGTAAATTTGTTTGATTTTAAATAAATAAATAAACCAGAATCTGGATAGATTTTACATCATCAGTATGGAATTTCTGTCGTTGAGGTGTAGACATTCCTCTTGGCAAAACAAATCTAGCGTCAAGGAGCAAGGAGAAACAACTGTTTTTGCAGGCTACATTTTGAATAGCAAATTCTAATTTAACAGCATGTAAATGTGATGGCCTGCAATTCAGTTACCCAGCTTACATTGTAAACCTACCAAAGAAGAAGAAGAAGAAGTTTTTCAGCTGTCAGACTGTTCTAACGGTTCAAAAGCTTTTTGTTCACCCTGCCATAAACATAAAGTTATTATTTCACCAATTTACTTAAGGCAGCCATTGTGCTTGTTAGTCACCACCTCACCAAGTAGCAAAACTTTGGTGCACTCTTTAGTTTCCTGATATCCTGTCAGAAAGGCAGTCAAAGGACATGAAACTAACCATATGAATGGCAACTGGGTTTTAGGACTTTAAAGATGTCTCCCATGCCATTCTTTCAAATTCAGAAAGAGGTTTAAGTCACTTTATTACAAGTAAAATGAATATTGTTTTTATGAAACATTTAACTGTCTCAGCTGATGAATAACCCGATCGCCCTTCATGTTCTGCAAAAGATAATAAAATTCGCACAGATTTCAGGTAAGATTGTTCACACTTTATTTCTCTTTTAGCCCTATTCATTGGTATGTTTTAAAGTCACACTCTGGTCACACCAGTTCCAAAACCTTTCACACTGTTTAAAGAAAATGGCAATTAAGAAGTGTATTAAAAAATGAAAAACAAGTCACAAAGAAAATTTGTACTTTTCTGTTACCCATTAACAGGAAACATTGAGAAAAAAAGATAAAAAATCTGTAGAATAAATTTAATGTAGAAGCTTAAATTATCACATTCTGATATAAAAAAATCTTATATACAAATTTGCCTTTTCTAGTAGGCATTATAAAAAATTTTTGTGTTGTCCAATTGCGCTTTTAATTTTTTTTGTTAAATTATGCATCTTTTTCTGCTATGGCTTCCTTGTCTTCATCTGATTTGTTGACTTCTGCTCCATCGCCATTTTCTGAGGCTTCTTGTTTGTCCTTAGCTGGCTTGACTTGCTGATTTGAACTCCTTCTCTTGTCACTCTTGGATTTCTCGCCTACCTCTTCTTCTAGTGGCTTCTTCTTGCTTCTTCTTGTCAGCTGTTTGTACCAGTCTTTAGGATATTTAGAAATGTTGTCCATATACGTTTCATTGATTTGCCATTCATCCTCCTGTGGGAAATATTTCACAATGAGTGCAAATGCACATGAACAAAAAAAACATTATTTAACCCAAATTGTCACCAAAATGCACCAATAAAACTAGGTAGTAATGGCAAAAGACCTAACTGTCACCAAAATGCACTAGTAAAACTAGGAAGTAATGGCAAAAGACCTAACGGCGTACTTCAATACATTTAAATAGTTAAAACTTAGGATTTTTCCACTCTTGCCAGCTGGAGCCACCTTATAGCAGCATGTCACTATGAACAGGCCGGGCCCCAGCTTAGAAGTGCTGTTCCATAGCCTTCATTTGAAGTATAACATCCAAACTCAAACCTCTGGTCCACGGTTTACAGCTTAAAAAACAAGACCACAAAGAAGCTCTGCTGTACTAATATTTGAAATGTAATACTTGATTACATCATACCTACAAATTTTAAGTTAGAACCACCTTTTTATCAGCACAACATACAAGCAGGACCACAAGAAATTACTGTGCAATGAAGAGAATTTTATTACTTGATAAAATGTTGATGTTTTTCAATGTTTATAGTTGACAAGAAACACATCCTTACCCATTGAAGATGGTTGTAATGTGGCTCCTTTGATGAAATCCGCTTTAAAATAGCCTGCAGCGAAAACAAGTAGAAAAACAGTCTCATTATAATGTACCTGTCATTTAATCATAAGTTGCTCCAGAATATATCCATACTCCCCCACAGGGTGTTTTTTTATTGAATCCCTATCCTGCTGAAAAATTCCACAACTCGTACAGCTACACTTTGCTTTAAAATTTTAAATGCAGCCCCGAATATGGTTCAAATATGGTTGTTTCCTGTTTTGAGGAGCTGGCCATGTCGCTTGTTAGTTTTTAACACATCTTTATGTCGTTTGTGTCCATCCACTTTCAAGGACATGTCGCTTGTCAGAATTTTAACCTAACAGGGCCTTTTCATGGGGCTAGACAGTACGGATTGTTTCTGGTACCACACATTGTCTATATTGATTCTTCATTGTCTTTATTTACCTGGTTTTCATGGGTCACCCTCAAGAGTTCACGCTGTCGTTTTGTCTTGTTTAAACTTTTTGGTTCATGATTATTTCTGTTGTCAACTCTTCCACGTGTTCTCATGACAAATGACATCTTTTCCAGCAGTATACGGTTGTCTCGTTCAATAGTGGCCAGCCTTTCTTCCTCAACCTGCAAAGGAAACAAGACTGTAAAGTCAGCACTATTGTAAACATTGAAGTCAACATATTGGGTACCTTAAAAAAAAACTGGAGATTTCAGTTAAAAAATGAAGACTGAGGTACTCAGCTGAAAGTCAAAATGCTAGCAATGATAAGCTTATTTTAGGGTTTGATGGCTTCATAAACCATGAATTTGCCAGAACTGACACAAGAGAGTCAATAAAATTAAATGCGCAGAGGATAGTTTCCCAGCAGACCCTTGGGTGTTTGGACAAGAGACCGCTGAACCACTTCACACTACATTGTACATCACTTTGATGATAGTTGCTGTTTTCCATTCTCCCAAAGACTACAAAGTCAGAGTCATAAGAGTTCTTATAACCTTGTCACGTGAAAAGAAAAAAAACGGTTCATAACTGGAGTCATTAGCACAAGGGAATCGAAGTTGGAAGAATCAGAATGTTTCCATTTTCTTTCGACTCCACTTTCATCTCCATCGCTTACGGTCCAATGGAAACCAAATTGTTGAAGTCAGAAGCAGTTGGGGAAAGATAACCAATCAAAATGCTTGTTCCCAGAATTTTTGTTTGATTTATTTCTTTCACCACTGCATATGAACAACTCAGACTTCACTTGAAAGTAAGCAAAGGAGTCATAAGGAGAGTCATATTGTGTTTTTTTTCTAAGCTTAAACACTCTACGCTTCTGATTAGCCCAACCTCAACTCTCACCACCATCACCGATTGAAACCAGGCCTTAAGCTCACTTGTCTTAAAGAAGTTTAGTGCAACCCAGAGGTTACTTACATTCAACACAGGGTTAAAGCCAGCCACGCTTTGTACGAAGTCCCGTTTTCTATGGAATGCCAATTTTCTACTTTAAACTTAAGTTCGTAAGAAATAATCAAAATGCATTTCATCACTAAATTTATTTTGTGCATAGGGAAACTGGAAATTTGAATAAAGAATAATGAAAGGGCAATTTTATCTTTAAATCAGTCTAGATTTTTTTAGCAATAAAATCCTTGACGGTACTACAGAATTTGACCTGTAAGTTCAGCGGGATGTTTTTTTTCTGAAATCCCCCCTTCCCCCCCCCCCTTACCCACTCAAAAGTCAAATGGTTGGCCCCTAATATGTTACGTGTCCTAACAGAACATCAATTCACACGGGAATAAATTTCACCATTCTTCTTTCAACCATTGTTAAAATGCACACGCATCTATATATGCAGACTTTTCATCAATAATACATGGTCGCTAATAACAACGCTTACACCACTTTGCGACATAATCCAGCTTTTTAACTTGTCGGAAGATGTTAATAGGATTTCACATTCTTGCAACTCTAAATTCTTTGTTCAGATAGCTAGCAGTCAGAAATATTCAATGAAGACAAAAACGCCTTGCGACGATGTAAACTTGGAACAGAACAGCGAAACATATTCACAGCTTTAATTAGCAAATGAATGTTGAATAAACAAGGAAAAAGTTCAAAATTGTTTCATTGCAAGGCTTTTAGATCCCAGTCGAGAAAGAACAGTCACAAGAGCCAAATTATTACCTTTTTCAGGACAAACATGATGTAAAGGTGTATTGATAGAGTATGATCATTCTATTGCAGACTTTCGATGGGCTGAATTAAGTTTTGAACTTCCAGCCGTCCGCTAATTTCACAGTTTCTTGACCAAAGAAAACTGATTAACTGCGCCTGCAATGATCTAATTTGTTTCATATCATCCGATCACTCACGATTTCATCCAAAGATCTTGTTCTCATTTAGGACTTGATTTATTCTCGAAATCATTTCAATAACTTAATTCGATTTTGAAAAGTACTACATTCTCACTCAAAGAGTTTATACATATTGACACAACAGCTATTAAGACAGGAGGCTTTGCCCGCAGGCGGCTTGAATAGATGGAAACAAACAACACGTTTAAGTAATAGTGAGAAACAATCTTCAAGCATACAATACCTGCAACTTTTTTAGTTTCAGATGTAAGTGCATGTAGGTCTGAGGAGGTTTATTATCGATAACTGCTTTCGCTGACATCACCTGTAAATAAAGGGTAAAATAGGAAACGAGCCAGGCAAGCAGATGAGTTTTGACGGCGCACTAAAGTCTCAATCGGCGCGCCATGCCGCGTAAAACACGATGAAAGAAAACAAACCTTTCTTCTGTGTGTATCGTATCTGCTCATGTCCCATCTTTTCTTCAGGAGCTTGTTGTTCGCCGGAGTTATAGGTTGATAAGCTCTGTGCATGATAACTGCAAATGGAAAGAAAACTCAAACAGAATGAAAGACAACGGTCAGTCAAGAGTTTCTTGAAGTGGAGAGACAGGTTGCCTGTGGCAATCTGGCGTAGCTTGTTGCTAGGCAACTGCCAGGTCCTCTGCCAGGCAACAGTTGTCCCACAAGAAGCTGAACCAACTGTGCAGTTGGTCAGCGTACACTAAAGCATGCGCACCTGTCGGTGAGCCATGTTGTTTCACCACGAGGAAAAGGACTTCGAAAAGATACGGCATTTGAGGAGTATACGGTAAACTTGACTTTTTAAAAGTCTCTTATTAGAGAAGATAGTAAATGATGCATTCCCGGATTTGAACAGACAGAAGTTACAATCATGCCTCGTTGTTATTACGAAGTTCTTGAAGTGGAAAGAGACGCCAGCGACGACGAGATCAAGAAAACGTATAGAAAACTTGCTTTGAAATGGCACCCTGATAAAAACGATAATTCTGAAGAAAGCACAAGAATATTCACAGAGATTCAGCAGGCTTATGAGGTACTCATCGATCCGCAAGAGCGAGCTTGGTATGACAAACACAGAGAGCAAATTATCCGTGGAGGAGATGACTATGTAGATAACAGCATAAACTTGATGAAATATTTCAGTGCCTCGGTGTTTTGCGGGTACGGGGACGATGAGCAAGGATTTTATGCAGTTTATTCAAACGTTTTTAGAATTATAGCTGAAGAAGATGCTGAGTTTTCCACTGACAGCAATCTAGAAGTTCCGGAGTTTGGAACATCTTCGAGTGATTATGAGGAAGTCGTCCAGCCTTTTTATGCATATTGGCAGAGCTATGCGACGCTGAAATCTTACGTTTGGGTGGAGAAATACGACATCAGAGATGCCCCTAACCGACGAGTCCAGCGACTGATGGAGAAAGATAACAAGAAATTAAGAGATGCGGCTAAGAAGGAAAGAAATGAAGAAGTCCGCGCGTTAGTAAAGTTTGTTCGCAAACGGGACAGACGTGTCAAGGCATACCTAGAACTTTTGAAGGAAAAAGATGAAGAAAGAAAGAGACTAACGAAGAAAAAGCGACAGGAAGCCTTGCTAGAGCGAGAGAAGATGTTTGAAGAGTACAAAGAAAAAAGCTGGGCTTCGCTGTCTGGGCTAGAGGAGGACTTGGCCCAAATGAATTTGCATTTGGACAGTGAATTTGGTAAGGATGATGACGTCAATGACAGCCAATCGGATGACGAGGAAGAGGAGCAGTATTATTGCGTGGCTTGTGATAAAGCTTTCAAAACAGAGAAGGCGCTTGGAAATCACGAGAAGTCGCGTAAACATAAAGATAAGGTTGCTGCTATCAAGCGAGAAATGGCAGATGAACAAGTAGAGGATCTCGGCTTTGAGTTGGTGGACGACATAGAGCCATACGAAGCTGAGTATCTGAACAAGAGGCATTCTTGTGTTGAAGAGAATAGTGGGGATTTTGTGAGCGTTGGAGAGCTAAATCTGATGGATTCCATTGAACTATCCACGATGAGAATCAAAGGAAACAATCGTTATAAAGTGAAAGTACTGCATGAAAGAGGTAGAGCTCTGTCAGGGATTGGGGAGGCGGACTTGGAGGCCAGCTTGGACGAAAGAACTGACAAAGATAACGGAGATGTTGACAGACAAGTGGGTGATGATGACGAGTTTATCTCGGGAGAGGTAGATGACAAGAAAGAAAGCGAAAAGGGTGGAAAGGCTGATGAAGGAGATAGCGCCGAGGTTAACGATTGTGGACAAAATAAAGAAAACTTCTACGACAAACAATCTGAGCAGGCTGCTAATGACGATAATGAGAAAAGAAAATCATCACCAGCAAATCAAAAGCCTGTTTCGGAGAACTCCAAGTCTGCGACGAACGTATTCAAGTGTAATGTTTGCCAAGCAGGATTTCCAACACGAAATAAGATGTTCCAACACATCAAGGAGCGCGGACATGCACTTAAAGTGGACGCAAAACACGAAGGTGATAAACCACAGAAACAGGAGAAGAAGAAAGGGAAAAAGAAACGTTGAACGCAGATCATTTTCTTAACACAAATGCAAAGAATGCCACCGTTTTAGAACATAATAATGACGTTTTATTAGTTCTGAGTGGTGGTCGTTTCTCCTTTTAAGGGTCTTTCGGGTTCGCTGCATCCGGTGGTACAGCAACAAAATATAATTAAATTACTTCTGACGACATGTATCGTCACAAATCAACCCTAGGAAAGCCGATCAGTTTTATTGGCGTTCTTTACAGTATTCTAAGAGTTTAATCCGCCATAATTTCCACCGATAACTCTGTAGTAATCAGAAGATGTTTATCTACAGTCTACGGGCTGCTAATGAACTGAAGACAAAGCAACAGGCCTTGCCAATCCAACGCCCTTTGCTTTCTTCAGGTATACGCAAACTGTAGCGCTACAAATATCCGGACACACATCAAATAACCAAATTAATTATATTGTCTCTTGGACTAATTGCGAAATTCCATTGTTTCTGAATGTTTTATGAAGATTAAGAAAGTATGCATATTTTATTTAATAAATTATTTATGTACGATTGTCGGTGCCTCTTTTCTTAACTCAACCTTGCAATATCGTGACTGCGTGACTTAATGTTGGTTCGCTCGAGCGCCTTCACCCACGATTATGACGCTACATCCGGCTGATCGTAGGATAGAATACGTAATTTGTGGTGCCAGTATTTTTGTTCCGTGGCTTGTTGCATGCACTGCCGTCACTATGGTAAAATAAACATTTGTTGTTGTTCTGATAATCTACAGTTATCAAAATAAACTTAACCAGAATTGTAGCCAAAGAAATCTCATGGCGTTTTTGTTATCTGGCTGTATGCAACTAACCGATAACTGACCTTTACTTCGATGATAATTCGCTCGCAGAAGAGATTGACGTTCGGTTTACTTAGAAAACAAAAGGACATTAATGGAATTTGGTAAATAAACGTTTTGTTCTGCATAACTTCAACCTATTCCCTCCTTAATATCCAGCTGTTAGGGCAAGATTTTGTCTCCCTAGCTTTTAACTCTGAACGAAATCTAGCCGCGTTGTAGCCGGTCCACGCATCTGCAAGGCTAACGAAATCCTATGGTGCTGCTAAAATTCAAATGGAACCTCTCCATTACAAGTTTTGAATCGTAAAGGTTTATTGGGTTAGCATTTTTAAAATTTTTTTGTCAATATTTTCTTTGGATACCATAAGGAGCGGAAGGAAATAGCAAACAAGAGAGAATGAGCCCTCTTGATACAGTGAAACCTCGATATATAAACGAACCTCTGTATAACGAAATCCTCGGTATAATGAACAATTTTCTTGACCCCAGTACTAGTAAAGACAGTAAATTAAAGAAAAAGAAGCTCGATATTACCAATTAAACCTTTTTATAGCGAACAGATTTTGCCAGTCCCGTGAGCTTTCTCATATCGCGGTTTCACTGTATCAACTCTTTGGGGATTGGCCTCGCGTCTCCTTTCGCGTGCGACTCTCGCGTGATTTTTCGCGCGTCACTCCCCCGGCCTAAATGGAGATATACCGGATAGTTCTGACGCCAGCACGACAGGCATACATCGTGATCAGATAGGGCGTTTGTTCGCACTTGAGAACGATAATTTTGGCCATACGATCCGACAACGGCGACGTCCATGAAAACGTCGCTGAAGAATAGACCTTGCATTCTTTTAAACTTTTTCGCGATTATTCCAATTCGCCCTGTTACTTAAAAGAAGGGGATTTTGGTTGGAGCTGAAGAGAGGGGACCGCGCCCTAATTCAGACAGAGATGGTAGAACTTATCGCCTTGCCGTTCCCGTTCTCAAATAAACTTAAAATTTGGTCATTTCACGTCGTAGTTGTGTAGAGACAGCAAAGAAATGTACAAAAAAGTGTGATGCACGTGCAGAGTTGTTGTTTTGCTCATAAACCTATTGCTTTTTTGACGTTCTCCTTGCCGTCGCCGTCGTAGTTCCGTAAGGTCCGATTTTGACGAAGCGAAACGGCGGCGGCCTATTTCAATTTGACTTGCTCTAAATCTTCTCTCAAAAGATAAGAATTCAATTCAAAAAAAAAAAATTGCTAACATTTGACGAATTAAACGAGATGGTATAGAGTGGTTTTCGTTTGAGTATCGTAAAACCAAAACCAAAGTAGTTACTCTGGCCAATCACATAGGACACAGACAATACATTGAACCAATCAAAACTCGAAGTAATTACATGTGGCTGACGCAAAGCGCGGGAAAATGCATGCGAGCGCGTCACAATTGGCTTTGGTTTTACTTCTGATTGGATGAAAAGGTGGCGCGAATCTTTTAAGCCAATCGCATCGT